CTACTTTCCTACTCACACACCTCTCCTCCACGTCCACCCTCGTCCCGCCCACAGCCCAGCCTCGTCCACACCCCTGTCAGGGTCAGACTCCGCCTTCGCTCTTTCCACTTCGGGTCAGGGACAAGCTCTCCCCTTTCCAAGGCTTGCCCTGCTCTCTCCTCTTCCTTCACATGGATGACCACAGCAGGTCCAGACTTCCAGCAGCCTCACATAGGATCGCCAGTCCTTGTCTGGGCGCCATCCTTCCCCCCTTTTATCCTCCACGTCCTTTGAGTGGTGTCCTTGGGCCACCACTGGCCCAGACCCCATTTGGATGCTCCTTGCCCTCCCTCCAGCCCCCACCAGGGACTTGCCTTGTGAGCGCGGCCCGAAACCCAGGTACTCCTCCACTGGTGAAGGTGGGCGGTCAGACGTGTCCTCGCCGCGGACCACCAGCGCCTCACGCACGGCCTCCAGGCCATTGATCACGACCACGGGCGTCCAGGCCAGCTGCAGGCTGAACACGTTCCCGAAGCGGCGCCGCAGCTGCAGGCCCAACGCCAGGCGGCCATCAGGCCCTGACCAGTATTTGTGGGACCCATTCTCGCTGTACTAACTAGGCTGACCTCATCTGGGCCACTATCAGAGATCAAGGATGAAATCTGTCCTCCGTGTTCTGGGGTGGGAGGGAGGTGTCACACCCTCTCCAGGTCCATCACTTCACCTGGAGCCTAAAGTCCACTTCTGAGTTTCCAAGTGTAGGGACATTGATTTTACAGATAGAAAATTGAGGCTCAGAGTGGATGGACAAGAAGGCCCAAAGTCCAGGGAAGAGATTAGAAGCCACCTGGCTCCTTTCCCCATCTCAGTGATACTCGCTGCCCAGCCACCACCCATTCTCAGGTCTTTTCTCCTGACCTCATGGAGTATCCTGGACCTTGTAAAATTGCTGTCAACCCCTGGACAGGAAATCCCTGCTGAGTCCCACCCCTCCTCCTGGTCATCAGGCCTCTCCTCTCCCCACACTCTCTGCTCTTTGAAAATGCACACTGTCCTTCTCAGCTAGCACTACCCTCCTCCCCCATCGAGCCTCCCTAACCTGCCCCACCTTCTGGGTCAGCTCCTCATCAAGGATGTGGCTGCACCCACCACCCCTGTCTCGTGTTTCCCAGAAGTCCAGGGGCTCTGCTGCTCCAGGACCATCTGACTCACCTGGCCTAAGTTGGACGGCATATTCTTGACATTCACCTGCAGCATGTTGCCCACCACTGGCAGAGGCATGGGGCCTGGCGGGTAGCGGGCAGCCCAGCGTGAGCGCCTGTGCATCAGGTCCACCAGCAGCAGGAAGATGGCCACAGCCACGGCCAAGGATGCCAGGCTCTCCCCTGTCAGCAGCCCCATGGTGGGCTCAGTGCCCAGGATCCTTCGCTGGGGTGGCAGGGGGCTTCCAGAGGTCCTCCTTGGGCAGTACCATGCACACTTGGTATCTCAGACCAAACTAGGCTCCCTGGAATAGGCCTGGTGTCCACCAGAACTCCTGCAGCCTGTCAGCCCCATTTTATAAAGGGACAGGGAATGGCCTTTACCCATCATCCTTTGCCAACCCCCCATCAATCAATGTTTGCACCGCCCCTAGTAGGGAGGGAGGAGCCAGTCTGTGCCAAGCTCGGGGTAGTCACAGCGTGCCTTGTTCTCTTGCCTTCTCCAGAGTAGGGATTGAGGACGTAAGAGGAAGAGAGGTCTTCTCCTGCTCTGATACCCTAACTTTCCAACTCTGTGGGATCCTGTAGACATCTAGGCTAGTGAGGAGGATGAAAGACCACCCTTTCCAGTTCCTTTCTCATGTGTCTCCCCACATCTTCAGACAGAAAAACCTGATGCCCTGGACAGGCTCCATCTATCTCACAGGCCACATCCCATAGTAATGTCACTTTATAGATTTGTCACTGTCACTTGTTCAAGGACACAAGGAGATGATCATGATCTTAAAAGTTAACAGTGATTGCAGGCACTTACTCCTTCCATCTCACTCCAAGATTCTCTCAGACACAAACCTCACACACTCATGTTGTTGTTGTT